TTTTGTGAGACAGGTTTTTAATAACAGTCCAGATGAAACTGCCTATTTTCGCATGTTATTAAACCGGGAAAATATTACGAATGCTGCTGTCATGATCCAACCATCATTAATATCGTATTCATTCAATTCACTGCCCCAACCAGCGTTGTTGGATGTGGCTTCCATTGCAGCTGATCGTATTCTCTTGCTGGATTCATATTTTAGTGTTGTCATATTCCATGGGATGACAATAGCACAGTGGCGTAACATGGGTTACCAAAATCAGCCAGAACATCAGGTATGTACTCTTCATGGTACAGTTATTGGGGTGTAACTTGAGATGGAGCAATGTATTTTTAAGTATTGGTACCATGATTTTATGAGGTGCAAGCTATATGTTCACATGTTATTATGGAATATTTTAATCTGATATCTTGGATGCACTAGCTATAGCAGGATTGGTGTTGAGGCTGAAAATGATTTTGACCAGACTATTTTCCTTTTAATTGAACTTCTCTCTGGTCATAATCTTCTCAGCTCTGTACTGGGCTTATTGCTCAGTGTTTATGAATTAGAAAATTAATTTTGAAATATACTAAGTAACAGCCAAATCCGTTGTAATTGTAAGACAGTGAAATCTTTATAATTAGAAAATGTCATCTAAAAGGAATTGTCTAAACTGAGTTCATTGTGCAGATTTTGCTGATCTTTGTTGGAGAATGACTCCAATTAACTTTGTTTTTCTATTTGTTCATGTAAGTTTGGATGGAATGACTAGTATAATTGAAGATGAGGTGTACTGTATGCAGACATCTATACGCCTTTGTAGTTTTGCAAATTGCATCCTTTTGTTCTTCTAAGTTTCTGATGCTGTTTTCTTTACCACTGAGCTAGAAGAAGATAATGTCATGAACCTTTAATTTCTTATTGAGTCTTTATGAGTTTGAGGGACTCCTTGTTGATTTTAACTAGGTTGGTTTTTCTTTCAAATTAGTTTTGACCAATTGAATCAAGAATTTTCTAATCAATATGTCGTTTGTCTGCTGACTTTTTCAGTTTTTTTTTCCTATGGTGGATAAAATGTAGCCATTTTGTTGATAATTGTTTTATTGAGCCTGTGAGAACTTTCATGTGGTTTTCTAAGGGAAAAGCTTGGCTTTAATCACTGCAAGATAAAGAAACATTTTTCTCTAAGATTTATGTTTTACCATGGACTTGGAGTAATTTTGTATTGGAATTAAATTGTGAGAGTGACCACATGTAAATGATGCATTGCTCAGTTTCTCTAATTGAAAGAAAATGCTTGCATCAATATCCTAAAGCTTTTAATACAAAGAGATATTTTTTGTAATGTAATGAAATGAATTGTTCAGTGGGCTAAAGCACTGCCTTTCATGACTGGTTGAGGTTCATGTAGCACTTATTATTATTTGATCTTATTGTTCTATTTTTCAGGCATTTGCACAACTGTTGCGAGCTCCTCATGATGAGGCTCAACTGATCATTCGGGATCGTTTTCCTGTTCCTAGATTGGTGGTCTGTGATCAGCATGGCTCCCAGGTCTGTATATGTTTTCAAACCTTAATTTTGGTACTCTATAGAATCATAACAGAAGTCATTAAGTGATTATTTTAATTGCTGCAAGTTTAAGTAAATATTTCTTGAAGCACTAGTTATGTGATCTAGGAAAATTGAAGTCCCTGAAAGCATTTCTCTATGTGAGGCTGTGTTCATTAAATAGGAAAATAAATAAACGACATCACAAAGAATTTAGATTGAATGAGTTGTACAACTAAAACAGAATAGCTGATTGGCAGTTTAACCATTTTTTTTTTTTTAAAATTAGCATCAGAATCTATTTTATGTTAGAAAAGAAGATACAATAAATGGACTAGAGGTCAACTATTGTGTTATAGCCAACCTAGATCAAGGATTTTGACCGTATCAATCAAAGCAACAGTTGTGCCAACATGCATGCTGACATTACATATTTCTGGGAACTGAGCTCTTGACAGTTGATTATTGTAGGAACTCTGGTATAGGAACTCTTAACTGCTGTAGGGTAAAAACTTGTCTCTTTTTTTTTTTTTTGAACAAAAGAAACTCAGAATGTACATTAAATAAGATGTGAAAATTTTACATATGTATAATGGGCGAGATGTCCACAAAGAGAACCAAAAAATAAAGGGACAACAAAAACTATGCTAAAAACATCCCATAGCAATGAAAACATTGCTAAACCGCCCTAAAATGGCCTTTTCTTTATACTACCAGTGACCAGTCCACAATTAAGCTTCTGAAAACTCATCTTGGATGGATGAAGAAAAGACTAAACTTAACTTAATTTTGTCTGACCAAATTTAATTTTTATATAATTATTGTGACATTACCGACCTGGTGGTTGACTCTTTATGCATTAAATTTCTTACATTGTTGTATACAGTACTTATTTTTGGTTTTGTTGTTGAATGACATGGTAAATAGGCAAGATTCTTATTGGCAAAGTTGAACCCATCAGCTACATATAACAATGCCAATGATATGGCCGCTGGGTCAGATGTGATATTCACAGATGATGTGAGCCTTCAAGTCTTCATTGAGCATCTTCAAAGGCTAGCTGTGCAATCTTGAGAGCAGAAATTAGTTACAGGTTTTGGATTTGGGGAAATTTGTTAGTGTGAGTTCTGTAATTTCCATCTTTTTTCCTGATGTTCTATAAAGTTGGGTTTTTTTTTTTTTTCCCCTTTCTTTCCATTACTTTTAAAATGAGAGAACAGGCCCCACATTCCTTGAACAATAAGGAGATCACATATAATTCTTTGGGGGGTGTCAGGAGGTATTTGCTTCCTGGAAAAAATAAGAGATAAAAGTTTAGTAGAATTCGAGTCTTATTCGGAAAGGAAGGAAATGTAAGTTAGAGACATTTCTGCTTCAGCAGGAGTCAATCTGGAAGACATTTTGATAGATTTTTTTTTTGTTTTTTTCAACGACCCTTATATCCGGCTTGGTCAGAGAGGTGGTGTACTTTTGTGTAATCTGAATTTTAAGTTATATACTCAATGGTGTCAATGCTCTTAGGTTAAGAAGTTAAAAGGAGTCAATTTGTTTAGTTTGACTTTTTCCTCTCACAGCTTTTATTAATCTGTTGAGCCTTATATTTTCTCCAAAATTATAGTCATAATTTGTAGTCATTTTGTCTGTATTTTGTTTTTATGGAAGAAAGTAATACTAAATGGCTCTCTATAGTCTATATGGCTTTTTTGGTGTTCGTGTGCTTTTCGTATTTAATAAGATCAGACCATATTTTAACATATTAACTAAAACTTGAGGCAATTATTTTTGGTAAAATTAAGCCAATCGCACTTTTGTTGATTATTATTATTATTTAAAAAATAATAATGGCATATGATTTATTATCAAACCGTCAGACTATTTATTTATTTTTGATTAATGTTATCCGGCCTTAACATTAATTTTATCCGGACAGTACAAAGGCTTCCAACGACTTTTAGAAAAATTTAAATATAATCATGAAATTACTATTAAAAATATCGTCTCAATCGAGCCGATTAGATAAATAGAGAAGTAAGGCATGAAGAGGCTTCAATAAGAATAAGGTTCTAAAACTACTAAAAGAATATCATAAAATCATAATCCCCTACAAATACCAAAAACCTCATTATACAAAGAGTTTTTAATATTCACAGAGTCTCTAGAACGGCGAAAACTTGAACTCTCTCAAAATATTTAACCATTTTTTTTCTCAACGTCTCTTGTTCCTCAATTTTTAACATTTAATCTTTTCTCAACTTTTATATTTAGATTACTTTTATGCCCTTCAGTCATTTAGATTAATTGTAATTTTGCAACGGGGGATAAATTTTATTCTTAAATTTCAGGGAGATTTATGTTAATTCAAAACTTAAAAAGAGTTTTTTTTTTTTTTGGTAATTTTTCCCTTTTAAGAACCAGTAAAAGAGTGGCTTAGCCTTTAACCCCTTCGTTTATAAGTTTCAGTGTTTCACATTTTCATGTCCTTGTTTTTGCATTGGAAATTGTGTAATATGAGTTTGTACTTTGTATACCCTTGTTTTTACATTTTATGTCACCTTTTTCCAATTATTTTTGGAAAACCAGAAACAAAAACTCCCTCTTTTTTGAAATAAAAGTCGTTTTAACTTTTCAAAATAAAAAGTTACGCAACCCTCTCTCTCTCTTTCAACACAACTTTGCTTCTTCTTCATCACATTGGTCCTTAATTTCTTTTCTTTCTCTCCATTTTAAGCTCCTGCAAAATTTGAAAATGAAGGCTAATCCTTTCTATCCACAGTTCATGTTACTCTTCGGATACATTTTTTGCTACCTTTTTTCCTTTTAATCAGATTTATGAAATTTTGTTTAGATCCGTATTTAATTCTCTGTTTTAAAAACCGGACCGGACCGACCGGTCAGACCGATTAGATCGGGAACCGACAGCTTCTCTGGTCCGGTTTAGGTCTCAGGAGGATTTTTGAAATATTTTAAAATTATAAGAGTTACTTTGTAATTTTATAAGGGTATTTTGAAAATATATCAAAAGTTTAAGAATTAATTGATAATTTTATTAGGGCATTTTTTGAATAAATAAAAATTTTAGGAACCAATTTAAACTTTTTTAGGAAAATTTTTGTAATATATTAAGATTTAAGGGGTTTATATATAATTTTTTAAAAATAAAATATTATTGACATCATCGATCCAACCGACTGGTCCAACTGGTTGGACCGATTAAACCGTGACCCGGATAACAAAATGGTTTACTCTCTGATCTAGGTTTTAAAACAATGATTTAATCAGAGAAATTTTGTTTACATTAAAAAAAAAAAAAAAATTAGTTTATTAAAAAGTGTGCAATTACTAGGGAGTATATAAAATCATTAACACATCCTTCAATCAGATAAACCTTAAAAATACATGAACTTTATTTATTTTAAGCCATGCATTTTCCATTTGCTTTACATCATATCACATCCCGTCAAATATTTAACATGACAACCACAAACTGATGTTTAGAGTTTAGGAAGTATCATGCTTTGCTATCAATGGCCATTGATGCTGCCTCTGGCTTCGCTGCAACTCTCTGCATTTTCAGAACACTCAGAATCAGACAACGAATGGCATTTCAAACCCAGTAACACTGCATCGCTCAGATATGTTTAAACTTACCGCTGATTTTGATTGATCTAACTTTATCATCTTCGCAAATATGTTGGCATAAAATTGTGCATCCTTCTTATTGTACTCCCTCACTTTCTCCTTCAATAGCTTGTACTCCAGTTTCACATCCCTGATACGAAGAAAACAAAATCAAGTAATTCAATGAATCTTCTTTTATCTAAACAGCAAATGTAATTTAGCATCATACAAGCGAGACCATACCTATTGTTAGGGTCAATCTCGAGTGCTTTTTTAATATCCAATTCAGCCAAATCCAAATCAGCAAGTTGAATATATGCTTGGGCTCTCCTATACAGAGCTTTAACATTCCTACTGTCAATTTCTAACACCTTAGTGCACAACTTCTCTGCCTGCTTATACTCTTTAAGTTTGAGCTTGCAAGCAGCATTGTTCAGGTTGCAGGTAATTTTCAGCACCTTGGTCTTCTGCTTCTCCTCATCGGTGAAAGAAGAGTCATACTCGATGAATTTCACAGCCTGTCATAAAAACATGGTTCTCTCAAATGATCAATCAAAATCTACACAATAACTTTATGAAGTATGAGACCAAAATTGTTTATATTAACATACCTTGTCATATCTCTTGGAAGCTCTATCATATTTACCAGCCTTGAACAATGCATTTCCCTCTTCCTTCTTCTTCCCAGTGGCTTCAATCTTCTCCTGAGTGTTCATGTCCCAAGATTCTTTCTCCTGCAATGAATATTATGACATTACATATTTTACCCTGTGGAAGCATATTAAACAGGTTAAAGTATATACCCCACACCAACCTTGAAAAAAGAAACCATCTCAACTTCGTAGTATAAAGTTGAGTTGGCAGGAACAATAGCTAGTTCTTGCTGTGAATCAGACGCACCAAACCCGTATTCTGGTTGAACTGTAATGAGTGCAACTTCTCCTTTCTTCATTCCCTTAACAGCTCTATCAAGTCCATCAACAACTTGTTCTGCACATTATATATACCTCAAGTTATCTAACGCATAGACAACCAAATAATGACACTATCTACATTCTAACATAGCATTCAATTAATGGGAAATTTGACATTACCCTCATCTATTTTGAATTCATATGGCTGCTCCTCATCATGACCCTTCTTTACAAAGATAGTACCATCATACAGCTTCCCAATTATTTTCACTGCAATAGAGGAGGAACAGTTACAAAACCTGTATTGCAGATTTATCATAACATATATGAAACTAAATTGTCAAAATGCCCAGTCCCATCATACCTTGTACCACTGCACCATCATTGGGTCTTTCATATCCCTCTCCCTCCTTAAGGATCTTTTTCAGCACCTTTTTGTCTTTGGTAATATCAGAAACAGTTTTCCAAGAGACCAACTCCAGATTTATCTGGAGGGCAGCATTTGGAGGAACTGCTCCTTCATCACCTATAGCGGGTCTGCCCGTCTCCCCAAAACCATCTACAAGAACCCAAAAATAAATGTTATCAATATTTCATTATGAAAAATAAATAAAAAAATTTCCACTGCACAGAAAAACTCTATTTACATTTTGGTTTTACCGTCAATAGCACTTTCTCCCCTTTCTTCATTGTTTTGACTGCTTTTGCCAAGGCAGGGCAGAAATATCCTGCAGGAAAATAAAATATAGATTATAGACCATTAGAGTTGCAACAAAGATCCCAATGAAGCAACAACATCATACATCAAACCACCATGAAACATACCCTCTTCAACAGTGAATTCTACCCCATCAGATCTGGAGACCAGCGTGCCATCTTCTAACCGAGCCTCATACTTAACTGCGGCACAACATTAAAAAGCATTTGTAAAAACACCAAACCCATAAAGTTAAATTTGTTATAGAAAAGAAAGCAAAGAACAGAGAATTACCGAGAACTTCATCAAGGTCTTTAGGAATCTCCCATTTCTCCCCCTCCACTAGTATTTTCTTAAAGATTCCTCCATCTTTGCAAATATCCTTAACGCTTGTCCAAGACAACAATTCAACATCAAACTGGAGAGTTGCATTAGGAGGAATAGTTGGAGGAGAACCAGATTCACCATAAGCCAATTGAGGAGGTATGGTGAATATTGCGTTTTCACCCTTCTTCATAGTTTTGATACCTTCATCCCATCCCTTGATCACTTGTCCTGTAACTCAATACATTAGTATACATAGAAAAAATTGCTCTGCTTATAATTAATTAAAAGAAAAGCTAAAATTAATAAATTACCTTGACCCAGCTTGAACTTGAAAGGTGTACCACGATCACGGCTGGAGTCAAACTGGGTTCCATCAAGCAAAGTCCCAATATAATGCACTGCAAATAAAAGTCCATCATCATCAACACATTGCATTTCACCACACATTAAATAAATTATTAGAATAGAATAGAATGGAAAATAAAATACCTTCCACTTCATCACCGGAGCCAGGAGTCTCCCAGCCTTCACCTTCCTTGAGGAGTTTCTTCTTGAGTCCAGTGTTGGTGATCTCCTTCTCTTCACCAACCTTGAGAATTGGACTCATAGTCTCCTCCTCCATATCCATATCCCTTTCTTCCTCCTCCATGTTGGTGTTTGTTGCTGGAAACTCAAAATCATCATCCATTTCTCACCCTCCGAATTAACAAATAATCAAATATTTCAAATGCAACAGAAAATCCAAATGCTTTTACGGTTTCCTGTGCCTGCATTGTGCGTACATTGCCCATTTTATAGAAGGCGGAGATGGACTCACTGGAGTTTTGTTGCATGTCTTCGACTAGAGACTTCTAAAATGTTTTAGACACGGACGTTTCCAGAAATCTCCCTACTTTTCTTAAGGATCATCGTTGTGACTTTCTAGATGGACGAAGCCCAGCCCATATCTAGTTCCATTTGAATTCATAGAAAAATGAAGATAAATTAATTTGTGATTAGTGATGGCCTGATGGCAATGGGCCGGACCGGGACCGGGTACCCCTTGGCCCAGGCCGAAACCTAACCTCATGACACAGGCCTAAGCCCGGCCTGAGCCCATTACGGGTATGATAGGCAAAGCCCAAGCCCGACCCGACGGGCTTTTTATAACCGTAGACCTAGCCCAAGCCCGCCTTTTTTAATAATGTTTATTTTTAAATATTAATAAATTTCAAATTTTTTTTATCTTTTTAATTTTAGAAATAGTTTTTAAATATTAATTGAAGCTATTTCAGCAAATAATTTAAGCAATAAGTGAGCAATTAAAACTTTATAATATTTGATTATAGAGCTGGGCATTTGGGACCGGGCCCAAAAGCCCAGCTCCAAAAACCGGGCCTAGGAGGCCTGGTCCCAAAACGGGACCAGGCCTAAGGAGGAGGGCCCGGGCCCTCCACCGGGCCCTCCTCCAAGGCCCGGGCCTGGGCCCAAAAGTTTATTTGTCTTTTATCAATTTAATCCTTTGTAAAATTACATTAAACCCCCTAAAATCAGTATAAATTCAAGGACTAAAATGATATTTTACAAAATTTATTAAAAAAAAAAAAAATAACCGTTGCAGCCAACGGTTACATTTATTACTTTTTATATAATATAAGTTTTTTTTTCAATTTCCCCCCACAACTACACTATAAAAACCTAAAACCTTTAATTTTTTTCACACCAATCTCTCAATCTCTCATTCTTTCATTCTCTCAATCTCTCATTCTTTCATTCTCTCAATCTCCTCCAAATCTCCAATCAATTTCTCATTCAATTTATATTATAATTTATTTATATTATTTTTTATATTATTCAAATTTTTTTCTATTTTTCATATCATCATATTTCATATTATATTTAATTTCTTTTCATTTTAATTATTTATTATTTTATCATAAATTATAATGTCTTCCCCAAATGAGTTTTACGTTCCATCCACCGAAGAAATTGAAGCCTTCAATCCATTTTCATCATTTCCTCCAGAGGATGAGCTGTAATTCCACAACCATTCGGCCGGGACGAGGTGTGCCAAACACATGTGAGCTGCGAGTCAACGGGCACGGACATAGCCAACCCCCCCGACCGTCAAAGAGGGTCGTGTCCGATGTCTGGCGATACTTCACCAAATCAAAACGGCCAAGACAAATGGGGAGGGGGAAGAATCGTGTGGGATATGTAATTTATGCGGAACCCTTATTGGGGCTGAGAAGGGACTTCGACGATGCGACGACACGTAGAGAAGAAGCATCCCCAAATAAGTGCATCTTCAAGCGGATCAGGTAGACAAATTCAAACTCAACTTAATTTAATCACCAATCCTCAACTCTCTCAACAGGCAATACAATACACATGTTGCACGAGAGGAAATAGCAAGATATATAGTTGCTACAGACTCTCCATTTGTTTATCTGAAAATCCTTTTTTGTGAATATGGTTAAAACTGCATTTGTCCGCATATACCCCTGTTAGTAGAACTACAAGAAAGAGATATACTAAAACTTTATACAAAATAAAAATAAAACTAAAAACGAATTTCAAAATTTTAGGAATATATTTATTGCACTTACATCAGACATATGGGCTTGTAGATCAAAAACCGATTTTAACTGTACAGTACATTTCTTAGATCAAATTGGAGTTTACAACAAAAATTGATAGGTTTTAAACCATTATATGAAAAACATAGTGTGAAACTATTATTTTCGATTCTTGAAGTTTTGCAAGAATATTTATAACTGATAGAGTTGTAGCGCTAACGCTTGATAATGCAGCTGCTAACACCGCGGCAATATCTTTATTTGAAAAGAAATGGATCCGTTTGGTGAAGGCAAATTTTATCACCCGAGATGTGCTTGACATCATCAATTTGATAGTTAAGCAGGTTTAGATACTATACATTCAAGGATTGAGAGGGTGCGTAGAGCTATGGATTTATCGCGGCAGTAGCAATAAAAGATGGCAGGAGTACGTCAAATATTGTAACCAAGAGGACCCACCGGTTCGACCTTTGAAGTTATGTACAGACATGCTATCCGTTGGAAATTACTACTTGATGTTGGAAAAAGCTTTGCCAAACGCGAAACAAATTACAGATTTCGTCAACCGGAAGACCTATCCAGAGGAAGTTGTCGTTATGATGATTGGGGGGTTTGTGAACTTTTTTACATTTCTTAAAAATTTTATAATGCTACAAACATTAAGTGTATTATTATCCAACTACAATTTAGTGTTAGATATTTTAGTTCAAATTGCTAAAAATTTTTATCAAAATAGACATGATAACATTTTAGTGAAATTGTTCAAGTATGGAAGAAAAATATAAGAGATATTGGTTAGATATCCATCTTATATGGATTAGGCCTTTTTCTAGATCCTAGGTTTAAATTATCCGTAGTTACGGTATATGTAATTACTGAGCTAGGCCATTATTTAGAATATGATTATAACGTCTATTTGACTGACTTTAAAAACAAATTGGATAGGCTTTTTTCTTATATGAGAACAGATACAATGCAAGTGGAAGTGGAAGTGGAACATCTGGGAGAGGCGATCAGGACTTGATGTAGCCCCCCCTCAATGGTCGAGCAAGTGGGCGTATGTGGGACGTAGCGGGAAGCTCCAACTCTAGCTCCAGTCGTACATACATAGACCAAATGGATGAACTCGCTACCTACAGTGGACTTGACTTTTATGACGATGAAGGAGCAACTTGACATGGATATTCCAATGGTGGAACCAACAAGAAAGTCAATTCCCCATTATATCCCAAATGGCACGTGACTTTATCTGTGCCGGTTTTACAATTGCATCCGAGTCAACATTTTCAACGAGGTGGCGGATTGTTGAAGACCGAAGTGTTCTTTAACCGATGAGATGATTGAAGTGATACGTGTTTACGGGATTGGACTCAGGAGAAAGAAGACACAACAGCACCCTGAAGATCCGAACTACCGAACTCTTTAGGAATACAGATTGATAATGTAACTACTGTGACGATGAAATGAGAGAATAATTAATAAAAAAATTATTTAATTGTTATTTGTGAAGCGTGAATGTGTGAAATGTGAATATTATATTTATGTAAAAATTAAAATTAACTATAATTTATATTTTTTTAAAATTAATTAAATTTTTAGAAACTTACAATCAACCCTAAAAAATACTAAAAACCCCTATAAAATTTGTTTTGCCCCCAAAATATAAAAAAATTTGAGGGGGGAAAATTAAATTTTCCAAACCCCATGGGACGGTCCTAGGACCGGTCCTGGCCCATGGGACCAGTCCGGAACAGGCCTTAGGCCTGGTCGGGTCCTGATTTTTCTCGGCCTGGGACCGGTCCAGGCCCAGAGAGATGGTCCCATTTGGGACCAGTCCCAAGGGACCGGTCCCTTGCCAGGTATATTGATTGTACTAAATTCTCAGCTGTGCATAGTATTTAGGTGAAATCCACTTTTATAAGTTGAAACAAACCCATCTAACTCATTTAAAGACAATTTTAACATGTTAACCTTAATATGAGATGAAAATTGAGGTTAGGGTTTGGAAAAATTGTATATTATATATTATTATATATATATAATTATATATATTATATAATATAGGATAATATTGTATAAATATATAGTTAAGGGTAAATTAGTAAAATTAATACTAAAATTTCGGGACCGCGGAGGGGGGGGGGGGACCTAAAGATATACCCATGCTCGGCCCGTACCCAAGGTTGGGCCTTAAAATTAAGCTCAGGCCCAAGCCCAAGCCCGCCAACCTTAGGTAAAGCTCGCCCTTTTCGGGCCGGGTACTCGAAATATTGGGCCCATTGCCACTCTATTGATCATGTTTTGTTTTCAACTGAAATTTCTATTTAAGTTTCGTCAATTGAATTAATGGTTACAATATTAATTTCTTCAATTGAATTGTAAAAGATAGAAAATGCAAATTTAAGCTCTTATCCATTATTGAACAACATTAACCAAAAATAAAAAAATAAAATAGGGTTGCATGCAAAAATTAGCTATGATCTGGCCGATCATAAAGCCAAATCGAGCGGCCACAATTTGCCACCGCTTGGAGGATTCCATGGGCATTCATCACAACCACCCAATTTTAATTATTTTCAACATTTTTTTTTTCAGTTTTGAAATAAATAAAATTTGATTAGTTATGAGTTGGGTTAATACATTGTAAAATATTGTGATGTAATGTTGAATGGGAAGTTTAAAATTGGGTTTTGAAAGAAATTGAGATGTATTGAAAGAAAACTTTAAAGATATTATTGAATTTCTGTAGAAAGTGCGTGGGGTGAAAAAGAAAATTTATAAATTTTATTTCAATATCTGTAATTTAATAGTTTAGGGCAATTTAATATATTTTGGTTAAAGGGTAAAAATGTCATTTTAATAATTAACAAATTTTCATTAACTGTTATTAACGGAATAGGGTGTCATGCATAAGAATTTTGTTTCTCTATGTTATCCGCTAAATCGGGAAACATATGTTGGTTTTCAAGGATTTCCCATAATAAAATAAAAATGAAAAAAATTTAAATTACTTAAGTTGTATATAAATGAATTATAAAAATAGAAACTAATGAAATATTTAAATATGAAATGATGAAAAGTATAATAGACACTCTTAAAATATAAATTGAAAGAAAAATCCCAAGTTTGGCCCCTATGGCCCCCTAATAAGGGTGGTCATGGAGCTCTTACTCATCAGTTATTTCCAAGATCTCGAGAGATTAGTTGAGGTATTACGCAAGTTTGTCAGAACACCCCCGATCATTAAAAAAAAAAAAGGTAAATGATTAAAATGGTAAAATAGACTTACATAAAACTGGAAAGAAAAAACTAAAATTGACTGATGATAATAGAGGGTTATCTAAGACTTTTTGAAAATTCTAGGTCCATATATATTAGGATTTAGGGGTGGATATAAAAGCCAAGAGATATAGGTAGCAACTAAGTCGTATGTTTTGCTATTATCTTTTGATATGGTTTGTAATTTTTATCATCCAATCCTTAGAGATTCCAGCATTTACAAAAAGTATTAACGACTCCCTTCTTGTCAGTTAAATTTTAGAGTAATGTTAACTTTACTAATCTCTCATACTAATCTCCTATACTAATTAACACGGCGCTAACATGACAAATTTTAGAGTAATGTTAACTTTACTAATCTCCCATACTAATCTCTTATTAACACGCGCTAACATGACAAATGTCATCTCATATGCCACATCAGTTAATTACCACGTCAGTCAGTTCCAAAAATCTTTAAAAAAAAAAAAAATTGATTCAAAATCCCCCCTTCCCTTAAATATATTCCCCCAAAAATTAAAAAATATATATAATTAAAATTAATTTAAAAGAACAATAATTCCCACTAATCAATTCCCAAATCAGCACGTAATTCCCACTAAGAAAAATCCCGAGCGCAAACCCTCCACCGCCTCCAATCAGAAAATACTACTACCACCGCCGACAATCGTCTCCCACCATCACTTAGTGGTCAATTTTGTGTTGAAGAAAATAAACTCCTCTCTCATTGTTTGCGTGGTCCTTGTTTGCGCCAAATTGAAGAACAGAGAACCTATACTAAAGGCAGTGCATCATCTTCGCTGATGAAGTTGTCTCAGATGATGAAGTTCAACATTGCTTCTGTATATGAGCAAAGATACCAACTTTGAATTTTCAAGCATCAAACGTTTTCCATAAACGCACAGGTAATTTAGGGATCAATTTTCAAATGAGATAGAAATTAGGAATATGGAATTGCTTCTTATAAGAGAATCATAACTTATGTCTGCTAAGCTGGTTTATTCAAAATTTCAAAATTTTGAATACCGATCAACTGCTAGTCAATATCACCAGTTCTTTAATCATTTTAAACTGAGTATTGCTAGGACTTTCATCATATTCAAACAAAAGTCCGCGTTCCACACTTTCCACTTTCAGCCTCTTTCTCATTCTTTCCATTAATAAACCTTTTGATAATCTTTTTTTTAATGATTATATTCCATTCATTGTTGTTTCTCTGAATTTGGTTTAAACCTAGAAAAGAGATTCTGATAGCATGGTGGAACCAAAATTATTTCATGTTTGTAAGTCCTCTGTTACTCTCTTATTTTGAATATATAAAATAGATCACTAGGATTAGCTTATATGTTTTCTTTTTCAAAGATGCTAAACTTATAACGGAAGTTTTACTTTATTTGTTTGATTGTTGCAGACTATTTGAGTAATTGTTTAATTTGTGTGTGGTTACTCTGAGCGTTGCATTTGTTAGTCTTTGATTATAAGAAAAGGTATATAACACAAGTTGAGATTCTGGCTTAGTTTTATAATGTCGAAATACTTATTATAATAATGATGAAATATATGTATGGTCTGAATATGTTTCTTCTTCAACTGATATTTGACTTCAAGAAAAAAATCAGTAGCTCTCCTTAAACTTGCGTGAACAAACCTTTGATGCAGATTTAAAGTAGTATATTAAAGAAATTACTCACATGTTTGACCTGCTCCTTTGACCTGAAAATGGGGATAACCTTTAGGCCTTACTGTTCAAGTTGAGTTACCTTTATTCAACTTTGTTGGAAGCTTTTGTGTAGGAGAATTGGAGGTGCAGCAGCAGGTTTATGCTTGGTTCTGTTTATTTTTGGGTGGTGCAATTATGCTGGCTGTGCAGAAGGTTGTATAGGGTCATTGTCTGCTGGCTGTGCATATTTAGCAAAAGTGCAGAAATAGTACCCTGTGGGAAGTGGTTCGTAAGGAGCAGTAGCGTGACTGCAGCATTTTTTGCAGTTCGTGAGTTAAGTTTGCAGATTTTACAAATCAACAAATTCAAATGACTGCAGTTTATGTGTTTCTGGGAGGGTGTGCCCATGGCGAATCTATTCAATTAAGGAAGAAATTGTATATGTTGCAATTCTTGTAGGTTCCGGGAATGTGTGGTGAGCAGGAAAAGGTGTCGTCGGGGTAGCAACCTGTTGATTGCATTTTATACATTTTCAAGTAGATGGGTTATGCTGAGTTTATCGGACTGGATATGTAGTCTGCGCAGGCTATCTTCTGTGTTGTTTGTAAAGTGTTGTGCGCAGTTTTGTGTCCAAAGTTGCAGATTCTAAGCTTTAATTGTTGCAGTCCTTGGTTGAACTCTAGTAGGCCGTGTAGTATGTTGTTTGATGGAGGTATGGCAGGCCATGTAGTATCCAATTCAGGAGTTGTTGAATTTATCATGTATGATCTCTCATGCTTTGTTATTCTGATTTGGTATGCATGTGTGCAGCTTGTTCTCCTTGTGGGCACAAAGCTACAGAATATGATTGCGACCTTGGCAATTGTCTGTCTATTTCTTATTGCAGTCATTGCTCTGTGATCCCAATCTCAATTAGCCTGCAAATTCTAAAGCTGCTCGGATGTTTGCTCAATGACTGCAGAGCTGGATAGCAGACTACCTCTTCCTTGGGTAGGGTGATTCGAGCCTGAAGGTTTTAGGGCATGTTCTATCGACATTGCCATTTCATTATCCAATTTCAGGAGTTGTTGAATTTATCATGTATTTCTCATGTCAACCTTTCACATATGAATTGGAGAGCTATTTGATAATTTTGATCCATATTATAGTATGACCTTTTAGTGTGTTTGTTTGTTCAACCTATCAGAAAGTGCTTTAATTGTGGGTTTAACCAGCAAATGGCTAACAACAACAATGCATTAGCCTCACTGTTTGTTCCATATTTCCCATTAAATAGGAAAAAGTCTTTGTTACATATTTCGCTGTTTATCGATTCAATAATATTATTGACAAAATAAAAATTAAAGCAAGTCAATATGTTATTTTTCTCAAATATATCAGAATTAGAGATGAAACAAAAAACTATTGTTGATATTAATAATATCTAACATAGATAAATAAAAGGTGATGAAATGAGGGTCTGAAATGTTGAATGACAGCTTAATATTATTACATATAACTAAGCAAGGTGTTGACACATACACATTGACATAAGCACCCTTATGTACAACCAAATTACACAAACTACTGCTTAGATGAGCCTCAAGCCAACAAAATCCCCATCTTATCATCATCATCATCATATTCTTCATCCACTAATAGCAGCTTCATTTTTCTCTCTCACTAGAGGTGGAATAAGTGGGCTGGGTTAGACGGGTTAACCCTAACCCGGCCCGCATTAAAGAGGGTTTAACTAGGTGGGCCGGGTTGAACCTGACCCGCATGCAACCCCAGGGCGGGCCGGGTTGATATATGGCAACCCAGCGACCCGGTGGGTTGCTGTTTTGTTTTTTTGGAAGAACCTGCCTACCCGCCGGGTTGACCTGAGGTTGGTTGTTGTTGCCCCCAAAAAAATAAAAAATAAAAAACAAATTTTTTTTCAAATACGCCTTTTACCCTTAAAATATAACCATTTTATAGTGGTTGGAGGGGTTTTTTCGTCATTTTCTTTTCCCATTTTTTTTCTATAAATTGACCATAAACTCTCATATTTTCTCACATCCCAAATTCTCTCATTTTCTCTAATCTCTAATCTCTATTGAAATCTCTCAATTATTCTCTTTGTTGTCGATTTGCTCTCATTTTAATTTTTATTAGTTTTTGCAATTTTCAATTCATATTTCCATATTCTAATTCTCCTTCTTTAATTTTTTATTTCTTCTATATCAAATTTTTTTTTTTTTTTAACTACAATAAATAGATATTTCTCTCCCATCAATTTCTGTGATGAAGGAAACTACTATCCTAGTCCCGCTGAATTTACTAACATAAATGCAACAGATTCAAATAGTCATGCTTTCCCAGTTTCAGAATCCGATAAACCTCAAAATAAGCTCCTGATTCCTCCCCATGCTGCTACAGCTCCCAATGGTTCTAGAAGTCGTCCTCGTCCAACTTCATCTCAAGCAAAAGCGGGCTCATCAACTACTGTCGAAACCAACAACAAACACACATTAGACATTTGGATGCATTTCGATAAGTTTTACGAGACAAAAAATGGAGTTCAAGTGAAGAAAGAAAGATGCAAGTATTGTGGAAATATTTATAAAACTGATTTAGGTAATAGTACTAGTACTTTAAAAAGGCATGCTAATAAACATATTGCTCAACATGGAAATAGAGAAGCCAATCAAACTCAAATAACTAATATGAGTACTACTTGGCGTTATAATTCTGATGTATATAGGGAACAATTAGCTTTATATATTGTTGCAATTGATCAATCTATTAATATGGCTGAAGATAAATATTTCGAAAGATTTATTAAAAAATTATTTTTTCCAGGATTTTAAAGTTATTCTAAAACTGCAACTAGAAATGATTTAATAAAATTGTTTGGGAAAATGAAATTAGAATTAAAAAATAAAATACATAGTTGTCATGTTGTGTGGCTCTAACTGCTGATATTTGGAGTGGTAGAGCTAAATAAGATTATATTTGTGTGACTAGTCATTATTTTGATAACGAATATAAATTAAATAAATCTTTATTAAGATTTAGATTAATGGATGTAGATCATAGTAGTCAACAAATTTATAATAAAATTGTTGAAGTTTTAGAAGATTATGATGTTATTAATAAAGTGATAAGTTCAACTTTAGATAATGCAAGTGCTAATAGTACAACTATAGATTTTTTTAAAATTAATTATCCTTTTTATAGCAATTTGAAGTTTTTTCACCAACGTTGTGCATGTTACATTATTAATTTAATTGTGAAAAGTGGTATGAAAAAAATTAGAGATAATATTGATAGAATTAGAGATAATATTAATAGAATTAGAGATTCTTTAGCTTGGATTACCAGTAGTAATAAAAGAAATGCTAAATTTCAAGATGCTTGTATAAAATCAAATATGTCTCCTAAAACTTTTGCATTAGACATGCCTGTTAGATGAAATAGTACTTATTTAATGTTTGATTCATGCTTACCTTATGCAAATTTAATTAGTTATTTTGTAGCAAATAATAGAGATCCTCATTATTTGGTAGAAAATGATTGGCATATAGCTAATTTTTTTTTTCTTAAATTTTTTTACCAATCCACTTTACAACTTTCTGGTGTGTATTATCCTACTAGTCCATTGGTAATACATACAATTATAAAAATTTCATAGTTATTTAGAAAAAAACAAAAACAGTGAAATTTTAAGGGAACCAATAAAGGCAATGGAATTTTTTTTTTTAAATATTGGAAACCCATTCCTTTTCTTTATTGTTTAGGTGATACATTTGATCCTAGAATTAAAGTAGCAGGTTTAGAAAATGGTTTAGACACATTAACTGAAAATTTACAAAACGAAGCATATGTCAATCAACTAGGAGAGGTAAGAGATTGTCTTGCAGAGGTATATTTCCAATATGAAAACAGGTATGAGAACCCGCAAATATGCGAAATACCCAGGAAAGTTGCATCAAAAGAAACAAATGAAGACTTCTACTCCTGGAGTGCATTTAATAGGCCGAAGAGGACCCGAACCCGAAGCACAACCCCCTCTTCAGAAGCACCAACAATGAATATATTGTCTTCCATGCAGTCACAGAATAACAAGCTTCAACAATATTTGGGAACCCTTGGAATGTTACCAGCAGATCTACAACAAAGAGCCAACTTTGATGTCTTAGAATATTGAAAAACCAGAAAATGTATTTTTCTGGTATTATCAAGACTTGCCTTGGATGTTTTCGCTATTCCTGTCTCAACCGTCTCATCCGAACAAACATTTAATGCAAGTGGAAGAATTTTAAATGAAAGGAGGACTAAACTTTCACAAAAAATGATTGAAATCCGCAAATGTCTTCAAGATTGGGAACGGTCGTGCCATCAAGATCAATACGAGGTGGTCGACGATACTTTAATAGAATCATTTCAATTTTGTAATATAGATGATACGGATAAGGGAGGTCCTAGTCAACCCCCAAATTAGTTATTTTGCAAATTGTAACTTGTAAATTAATTATCAATTATTGCACTCTTTTTTCTTTACCAAGTTTTTATCTCATTGGGTATTTTTTGGTGAGGTTTTTAACAAGGCAATAATTGTTGTAATTTCTTATTTTATTTTTTGATAAATGAATAAGTCTAATTTTTCTTATATTACAATTTTATTATATTAAAACTGAATTAATATTTGAAATGTTAACCAAAAAAAAAAAAATTGAATTGAATTGAATTATTGATATTTGAAAAGTTAACTAAAGACAATTATACAAAACAAAAGAAAAAATTAAATAAAAATAAAAAAGGAGGTGGGAGGGCTAACCCAGCCCGGCCCCTAGCATAACCCGTCGGGTTCTAGCATAACCCGTCGGGTTAAACCCGGTCCGACCCACCAAAAACACTAACCCACCGCAAGCCGGGCCGGGCCGGGTCGGGCGGGTTACTTTTCCAACATTATCTCTCACCAAGCTATGAGAAAAATTCCTAATTTTTGGTACAAACGATTATCGATCTTAGCCCACCAATGGGTGATAGAACATCCTCATCTTATCATCATCATCATAATCTTCATCCACTCATAGCAGCTTCATTTTTTCTATCTCACCAAGCAATTTATGAGAAAAAATCGTAATTTTTGGTAGAAACGATTATCGATCTTAGCCCACCAATGGGTGATAGAACATCCTCATCTTATCATCATCATCATAATCTTCATCCACTCATAGCAGCTTCATTTTTTCTATCTCACCAAGCAATTTATGAGAAAAAATCGTAATTTTTGGTAGAAACGATTATCGATCTTAGCCCACCAATGGGTGATAGAACATCCTCATCTTATCATCATCATCATAATCTTCATCCACTCATAGCAGCTTCATTTTTTCTATCTCACCAAGCAATTTATGAGAAAAAATCGTAATTTTTGGTAGAAACGATTATCGATCTTAGCCCACCAATGGGTGATAGAACATCCTCATCTTATCATCATCATCATAATCTTCATCCACTCATAGCAGCTTCATTTTTTCTATCTCACCAAGCAATTTATGAGAAAAAATCGTAATTTTTGGTAGAAACGATTATCGATCTTAGCCCACCAATGGGTGATAGAACATCCTCATCTTATCATCATCATCATAATCTTCATCCACTCATAGCAGCTTCATTTTTTCTATCTCACCAAGCAATTTATGAGAAAAAATCGTAATTTTTGGTAGAAACGATTATCGATCTTAGCCCACCAATGGGTGATAGAACATCCTCATCTTATCATCATCATCATAATCTTCATCCACTCATAGCAGCTTCATTTTTTCTATCTCACCAAGCAATTTATGAGAAAAAATCGTAATTTTTGGTAGAAACGATTATCGATCTTAGCCCACCAATGGGTGATAGAACATCCTCATCTTATCATCATCATCATAATCTTCATCCACTCATAGCAGCTTCATTTTTTCTATCTCACCAAGCAATTTATGAGAAAAAATCGTAATTTTTGGTAGAAACGATTATCGATCTTAGCCCACCAATGGGTGATAGAACATCCTCATCTTATCATCATCATCATAATCTTCATCCACTCATAGCAGCTTCATTTTTTCTATCTCACCAAGCAATTTATGAGAAAAAATCGTAATTTTTGGTAGAAACGATTATCGATCTTAGCCCACCAATGGGTGATAGAACATCCTCATCT